ACGGTTGTGGCAGTGGTGGTGGGGGCGGCGACGGTTGTGGCAGTGGTGGTGGTGGTGGCGGTGGTGCTGCTGGGTGGTGGTTCTGGTGGCGGTGGTGGTGGTGGTGGCGGCGGCGATGGTGGTGATGGTGGTAGTGGCAGTGGCGGTGGCCGTAGTGGTGGTGGTGGCGGTGGCAGCGGTGGGGGCGGCGACGGTTGTGGCGATGGTGTTGGTGGTGGCGGCGGCGGTGATGGTGGTGGTGGCGGCAGCGATGGTGGTGGTGGTGGTGGCGGTGGCGGCGATGGTGGTGGCGGTGGTGGCGGCAGCAACGACGGTGATGGTAGTGGTGGCGACGACGGTGGTGAAATAGGATAAATTTATATATAGGATAAAAAAATTAGGTTAAAGAAAGGGGTAAAAAAGAAAATAGATTCTAAAATCTATTCCTGAGCGTTCAGTAATTGGCTAATACCAGGGGGGGCCCTAGTAATAGCTATTACCTTATTTGAGGTAATAGGCTATTACCTGGAATATTATTCCTGGTAATAGAAATGGTTACCAAACAAAAGAATAGGTCTATTACTGGGAATGCTATGCCATTCCCGGCCAATCGTTATATCCTACACCACGGCGCACATAGCACTGTGCGCCGCGCGCCTCCCAAAACGACGTCGTTTTGGGGTCGTGTTGGGAGGCGCGGTAGGAAGTTGCTGAGATTATGTGTATTCATTCACAACGTTATGTGTATTCGTTCACAACGTTATGTGTATTGGTTCATACAGTTATGTGTATTTTTTATACAATTATGTACATTATTTTTATACAATTATGTACATCCGAATCATAAAATTTATGTGTATTATGTTAAGAGTTGATGTGTATTATGTTAAAAGTTTATGTTTATTATGTATTATGTTAGATTATGTGTATTATCTTTTAAAAAGAGTATGTATATTTTGTTATAACATTATGTGTATTCATGTATAACATTATGTGTATTCAAGTATAACATTATGTACATTCTTGAACAACGAATTTTTTTTTAAAGAAAAGCCTACTGCCATTCACTGGGGCGGGAAATTTCAAAAAAAAATAATAATTAAAACGACGTCGTTTTGCATCTGGGCGCATAGTGCAATGTACGCCGTGGTGTAGGATATAAATTGCCATTCCCAGCCTATTCCGTGAACCAAACGGGCCATTAGAAAATTATATTGAATTGAAAATTAATAAAGACAATAAAATAATTTTCATACTCGGTATTTTTTACAAAGGAAGGGAGATACCCATACAATCTATGCCTACACCAAGGCTTGAAACCTAGACCTCCCACATAGGGGAGCCATCCAATACCAGTGGACCACAAGCCACTTGGTTCATACTCTGTATTTTAAACAAACATTAATCAAAGTTTAAAAACTCAAAGTGATACTTTAAATAAAAATAATCAATAATAATAATAATAATAATAATAATAATAATAATAATTATTATTATTATTATTATTATTATTATTATTATTTGCACCCGTGCGATGCACTGTTATAAATAATAATTATAATAATATAATTAAACAATATAACATAATAATAAAAAATGAAGAAAATTTATATAGAGTAAATTATTTAATAACAATTAACATTGAAATTGTATTACACATTATTAAAAAAAAAAAAATTAGTAAACAACATTTTTAATCGTACTCATAGATTGTCCATTATTCCTAAAAATCAAAATTTTTAATACCCTTGAATTACTTACTCTTCAAAGTACAACATATATTTGATCATAATTAAAGACAGACTTTCTCAAAACAAACTCACGCGTGATATAGAAAAATGCTAAATATAGTATAAAATTATATTAATTTAATTCAAGAAAGTTTATACAATAATGTTAAATACAATATAAACAAAATATATGAATATAATTCATATTATTTTTCAATATAAAACAAACTTAACCAATAAATAGATAATGACAAGTGATGAAAATCATATTGTGATGCCTTATAATAATTCATTAGCAAAGAAAGTTCACGCTGTTTAATATTCTATCCTATCATACTAATTATTTATTAATTTGCTATTTTTTGTTGTAATCAATTAAGCATATGATGATATATTAGTATGATGCTATTCTCAATCCTAATAAGAAGTAAACTAACATTTTCTTATTAATAAGAAAATCATCTCAAATAAATACTCACACTATTAATTATAGTTGAATGTGTATACCTTAATCAAATATAGCATTTGATCAAAATGGACAGTCCATCAGCCCATCAAATATACCCGGCCCATTATGTTTGTATATATATATATATATAGGGTAGAGTTCAGTGAGAAGTGTGTTTGCACACATTTAATGCGCGTTCGCACACACTTAATCTAATCTAGACCATTAAAAAATATTAGATGGATACACATGATGTGTTCTCACGTTCTCACCTAAGCACATGTTCTCATATGATCCTAACTCTCTCTCTCTCTCTCTCTCTCTCTCTCTCTCTCTCTCTCTCTCTATATATATATATATATATATATATATATATTGAAAGGTTCTCGTGCGGTGAATGCTTCCCGTGAGGATGTGCGGTGAATTAATGTGCGTGAGATTTGTGCTAAATGTGCGTGAGTGTTGTGCTTAATGTGCCTGAGATTTGTACTTAATGTGCGTGAATGTGTAAAATGCAGCAGAAAATATTGATGTCAGCTTCTTCTCCATCCCCAGTAGCCATTTGCCCCCTCCCTGATGATGATGATGCGGAGGCGAGCTATGGTGATTAAAAATTATAGGAATAATACAACAGAAATCCACACTTAGCTGCTGTGCAAATTTTACTATGCATGCGTCATTTATATAAACATTCAACTGCACTGAAGGTAGCTGATAATCCAGAATCCATGGCCAAATTGAAAGAAGAAGTAACAAGAAGCTTGGGCGTTAATGTGCGTGAGTTTCTGTTCTGCTTCCTTCTGAGCTCATAATTCTGAAATACGCATGCACATTAAGCACAAATCTCACGCACATTAAACATAATACTCAGGCACATTAAGTACAAAACTCACGCATATTAACATGACGCACATTAAGTACAAATCTCAGGCACATTGAGTACAAATCGCACGCACATTAAGTATAAACCTCACGCACATTAATCCACCACACATCCGCACGGGAAGCAACAAATGCACCTGATCCCTTCCCTATATATATATATATATATATATATATATATATATATATATATATATATATATATATATATATATATATATATATATATATATAGGTAGAGGATCAAATGAGGTCATGTTTCTATGTGAGGTTTGTGGTCAAATAATGATCCTTGATTTTAGTTAGATCTATGGCTATTAATTTTTGGTTTATATTTAGGGGGATTTTATTTATGTGTTGCCGCCTCTTTAGGTGGAGTGTTTTTAGTCTTTGTATTTTTTTCCTTCCTTTAGTTATTTATTTTATTTTGGGTGATTGCATGATTGTAGTTGGCTTAAATATGGTAATTAAGATTTTTTTGATTCCCTGAGTTATTTACCGTGTCTTTTTATATTGAGCGCCTAGTTCACTGGTTTTTGTTGTCTTGCTTTGTGTTTTGTCAGACACTACTGTCTCTTAGTTATCACTGGGTTTTTTTCCGCGGTTGGTGCTATGGATTCTCCAGGTGTGTATTTTTGTTGTCTCCAATATTTATTCATTGTTCATCGTTAATTGGTGTTCGAATATATATTTCTTTTGTGCATCGTTGTTTCTGTTTTTTGTGTTTAGTTATGTATTTGTTTTTAAGATTGTCGTTGTGGGGGTTGTGGGTTATTAGTATTCATATGTATGTATTTTTATGCACTCTTTTTGTTGTGCGTAATATTTTTTAATATTAATATACGGTTTTTTTTTTGGGGGAGGGGGGGGGGGGGGGGGCGATAAAGATGTGTACCGTGTGTGTTGTTAATATTCTCTATTTTAATTTTGTCATTTTGATTAGTTTTCCATCTTTTCATACGGGGTTGTTGCTTTCAACGATTTAGTTGGTTATTACAATTCGTTTGTGTTTATTTTATTTATTTATTTATTTTTTGTTTTTTTTTTGTTTGTTTTTTTTTTTTTTTTTGTTTTATAGATATGTATACTGTGTTTGATATTGGTATTTATTTTTAAAAATTCAGTTTCGTTATTGACTGTTGCGTTTAGTTTTTGTGTACCTTGTTGTCGTTTTTTTAGTATTTGGTGCGATAGGTGGTTTTTTACGCCAGGTGCATGTATGAGAGTTGACAGTGTGCAAATGGAGTATTTTTTTCCCTTTTTTTTTCGGTTTGTTGTGCCTTTTTGTTGCATGTTTGTATGCTTGTTTTGTGCGTAGTTGGCTCTAGTTTTTATTTAGGTTAGTTTTGCTTTTTTTTTTTGTTTTGTTTTTTTTTTTTTTTTTTTTTTTTTTGCATTTCGGTGCTGTAGACTTTTTTTTTACGTTGTGTGCATGCGTTGGGGGTTTCATTGTGCGTGGGTTGATTTTTTTTTTTCCCTTTTTTGGGTTTTTTGGGTATGTTTTTGCATTTTTGTTAATGTTTTCTAGTCTTGTTTTGTATCTAGTTCGTTTTGGTTTTTAGTTACATTTTTTCCTCATTCTAAATTGTGCAATTTACCATGTTACTTTGTGCAACCCGTGTGTAACAAATTATGTTTCCAACTATAGTTTGTGCACTCCCACATTTGATTAGTGTGCAACCAGTACCTATATCCCCTATATCTGCAACAATTAATTGTGCACTACCACTTCTTGTAAGACTGCAAGCAGCCCCCTTGTACATTGTGTGCAACTAGTTCCTTTCATTAGTTTGTCAATATTCTAAACTGTGCAGGTTGCCAATATATGTTTTTGGTTGATACTTTTCTTTTTGCTCTGTACATGTATGGGGGGTTTCATTGTGCTGACAGTGTGTTTTTTCCCTTGTTTTGGGCATGTTGTGCATTTTTGTAATACATTTTTAATCATGTTTTTTACCTAGTTTTTTGGGTTGGATGGTTGTGCAGTTCGGTCGAGTTCTCAACAGGCTTGTGTCATGGACATGTCTCCCGATGGGATGAAGTATTGGAATCCTTCTTGTGATGAGGTTGTTAGTGACGTTGATATTCGTCCCCCTCATCTCTCTAATAACAAGGGTTGTGGCAAACGTATCAAAAGTACGAGGGAATTAGCTGTTGAGAAGTCGAAACGTCGTCAGCGACAATGCCACACATGTGACGAGTATGGCCATAATAGCCGTACTTGCCCCATGCGCTAAGAGAAAAATTAAGCTTGCTTTTGCATTGGAATTATTATTTGAGTCAGACTTTCATTTATTTATTTTTGTTTTAAGTTTTCTGCCCGTGTGGTGACTTTAGTCGTTTTGTTTTGTTTGAATAAATGTTTGGAGTTTTTTCTTTAAGTTTTATTTTCCATGTTATGTTAGTGTTTTGGTTAAATTTCATGATTTCGCAACTTGTTTTACCACCGTCGCACTTAATTTTCTGGGCACTATACTGGTCTTGCACAATATATTGTGGGTTCGTTGCACACTCCACATACACATAACTTTAATCCTGCCACTGTCTCGCATTTTCACCAATTGCTAATGGTTAGTTACTTTTGCACCAAGATACAGAGTTACGTTGGACTAGCCAGTCAATTTACAGGCCTCATTTGTTTGGCTCTTAAATTACAAATTGTGTTTATGTAGTTACGTACCTAATAGATTTTCGTATATCTATTTCGTTATTTCGGTGCACCGTTTCTTAACTATCATGTGCACTTCTTTTTAAATCGTTTTTACCCTTTTTGCCTATATTATAGCTCTACCACCTACGACTGCAATTGCAGTGTTGTATTCATCATACTTGCACATTCTAGAGGTGGGGTTAATACTAGATGCACATTCAAGTGCAGAGTCTTTGCACAATTCCTGAATAATGAATTAATTGCATTTCTTTAAGCTTCAACTTTGCACATTCCAGTTTTGGGAATTACTGCTGTTTGCACTTTCGAATAAGTAGTCGTTGCATGAGTTATAAACGATGTATAAATTGCATTTCTATAACCTTCCTATTTGCACATTCCATCTTTGGGGCTTATTCTGATTGCACATTCAAGTACGCATTCGGTGCACATATCCTAATTAATAACTACCTATTTGTCGATTTTAAAATATTGCATCTTCCCATATTTGGGGTTCTATTAAGACATAGTCAGTAGCGCGTTGCATGTTTGTGAACCTAATGTTGGGAAAAATATTCGCACAACACCATTCAGTACTAATCCCCTTTTCTCGCAATGTATTCGCCGCCCTCACCCACCGCCGGTAGTCCTTGTCAGTAGCCCTAATCCACACCCACCACCGGTCATTTTTTCAATACCCAAAAAATACTGTAATTTGCACATACACAGAGCATTTGAACATGCACAATCTCAAAAATTAGTCAAAAAATGGAATGCACATACACAGAGCATTGGACGGCTTCTCCTGCAGAGGCTGAAACCGTTTAACTGTAATCTGTTGTATCATGATTGCCTCAAGAGGGAGCCGGAGTTGGAGAAGGAAATATGTGCAAAATTTGAGGAAGATCTTGATGCCATGCTGTCAAAATGTGACGTAGTTGTCATCAACATGCCTCTCACTGATAAAACCAGAGGGATGTTCGACACAAATAGAATTGCAAAGATGAAGAAGGGAGTTCTTATAGTGAACAACGCCCGCGGAGCAATCATGGACACTCAAGCAGTTGTTGATGCCTGTTCCAGTGGCCACATTGCTGGTTATAGTGGCGATGTTTGGAACCCACAGCAAGCTCCCAAGGATCACCCATAGAGATATATGCCAAACCAAACAATGACCCCTCATATTTCTGGAACTACCATTGATGGACAGTTGCGCTATGCTGCGGGAGTTAAGGACATGCTGGACAAGTACTTTAAGGGCGAAGAGTTTCCTGCACAAAACTACATTGTCAACGATGGAAAACTGGCAAGCCAATACAGATAAATCGCTTCTACTACTTCCCTGGAGTATTGATCAAGTGTTTAGCAATACAAGTGTAATAAATCGATCATTTTAAAGAGTTTAGGTTTTGCTACCAAAATCAGTTGTGTTTGTGTGTTTCGTACTTTCGTGATGAATAAATGAAGAAAGAAGTTTGTATTCAAAAAAAAAAAAAAAAAGTTTGTGTAAAAAATCAAAACCATAAACAACTATTGGCTTACCGAGTTTGGTTGATGCCTCCAGAGATGCACGCCTTTTACTCCTTCTCGCACTTCCGTCCGCCATTATTCTCGGCTCTGTTCTATACCCCACTGCTTAAACAAGTTGTCATTTGAGCTCTCGGGTTCGCCGTTCGTCAATGTGCACTGCGGACAACCTTCTAGATCTTTCGTTTGTTAAACCCTACGCGTTACTCCCATCATTTTCGCTTATTCCTTTTATTAATTGCACAATTAATTTGCATTTTTACTCTTTTACCCCTTCTATTGATTACTGATAATCTTATAACCCAAAAGTCCGCACGGTTTAATATAATTGTTGTGCAATCTGGTCCTTTAATTCCCTTGATCTGATGGTTACAATTTGACCACAATCCTCACCTAATACCATGGCCTCACTTGAACCTCACCCTATATATATATATATATATATATATATATATATATATATATATATATATATATATATATATATATATATATATATTGACGGTAAATATGTTATCGGAAATATATTATTGGAATAACGCAGTGTAAAAGAATGAGAATAGTTGTATTGCCAAGTGTTTTAGTACAAAATAGTCAACGTGTCCTCCCAAGCTGAGGGGAGCATCTACTTATACCAGGGTGCTAACGGTAACAACACGGGACATAAATGGGGAGCTAAGCCTTTAATTTTCTCTCATCAATGGTGGCTTCAATGGCAATAAAGGTGACACCAGTTGGAATTCTGTCCGTTGGAGTTCTGTCCGTTGGGTTTCCATGTGGTGCCGGGTCAAATATGGCACCGGGTCAAATGCCCACTTATGATCTGGGTCGGGTGCCAGCCCTATTATCTTGTCACCCCCTGGTATAAGTAGATGCTCCCCTCAGCTTGGGAGGACATGTTGACTATTTTGTACTAAAACACTTGGCGATACAACTATTGTGACTCTTTTACATTGCGTTACTCTAATATTATTACTACCGGTAACATTTTTACCGTCATTGGTGCTTTCATTGAGAGCCTGAGTCCCACACTCAAGCAGGTGATGACACACACAACTCATTCCTCTTTCAACAGCAAGCTTGAAAGAATGGTGTCCCGCAGCTCCCACGGTTCCCGCAACGTGAACAATGGCAATGCATCAGGTGACCTCCGGGACCAACTCACCAATAATCACGGAGGGGACCTCCGAGAACAACTCAACAACGGGAGGCCCGGGGACCTTCGAGACCAACTCAACAATGGAGGGGACCTTCGAGACCAACTCAACAATGGAGGGGCGAACCAAGCCGTGAACCTCCAGGCGACCGCCAATGTCATTCAGCAAGCAGTGACAGCGACGCTAAATCAGGTGGCTGTGGGACTGTAAGGCCAAGTGCCCCCGCCGTGGCCCCAGGAAATAGGGGTAGAGACCTAAAGAAGTGGACCGACCAGACGACAACCAGGCCCTTCCCAATCTGCACCAGAACGATTGGGATAGAGAGCGCCTATGCGGCAAAAATTAGGATCACGGGCCGAGGGGTCCTCTACCAGAGGCCCTCGCCAACACGAAAACAGAGAAGCCGAGAGATCACCCACAGAGGAGGTGGGCGAGTCTCGGGAGCCGACCCCACGCTGACGCGTTGATGAGTCGGCCCTACGTCGACACTTGGAGGAGCGACGCGCTGATGAGCGGGTTCCACACCGACACTTGGATGGACGGCACGTCGATGAACTAGCCCCACGCCGGCACCCTGACGAGTCAGCCCTGGTCGAGAGGCTGCAGAGAAGAATCGAGGAGTTAGCAAGAAGGGTGGAGGCACGGGAGCAGTCGCCGGAACCCGAGGTACGGATGGCAGCACCATTCTCCCCAAGCATTATGGACGTACCTTTACTGAGGGGCTTTAGGTTGCCCGCCATCAAGGAGTACACGGGGGCCACTGACCCACGTGTCCACATGACGAGGTACAAGGCTACTATGGTAATGATCGGGGCAGGGGACGCCATCATGTGCCGAGCGTTCTTGTCCACCCTGGATGGAGCGGCCCAAGACTGGTTCAACACCATCCCGGATGGGTCGATCCAAAACTTTGGGGAGTTGTCCAAGAGCATCCTGACATACTTCTCCGGTAGCATACAGCGTAAGAAACCCTTCTCTCACCTCTATGAAGTGAAGCAAGATAGAGGCGAGAGCCTCAAAGGCTTCCTGATAAAATGGAAAAAGGAAGTCAATAATGTCTAAGACTTCGACTCCAAGGCGGCGATCCCGATATTTATCCATGCCTTAAGATCAGGGTATTTCCACAAGCAGCTGAATGCCCACCACCCCCGCTCTTACGAAGATCTGATAAGGACGGCTAGCCGCTATGCCGAAGCAGAGGACGTCGACAGGAAGAAGAAGGAAGAAGTAAGAAGAGGATGGTAGGAAAGGTGGGAAGCCTGGTAAAGCGGGTCCGCCCAACCAGGCACCACTCTCGAACCACCCGACCGCAGGGAAAGGCCGAGACCACGAACGACCTCACCTGGTCCCCTTGCGTAATTTAACTCTTCTTACCCATCCTGTCAGTGTCATCCTAAAGTAAGCTGAGGAGATGGGAATGGTAGAATTCCCCGAGGAGTGCATGAAGGTCTCCCCAAAGGCAGACCAAACAAAGTACTGCAGGTTTCATACGCAAGCCGGCCACGATACGGATGAGTGTCAAGCAGCAGGGTTACTTCCGACATTTCGTCAAGCGATCCAAGCAGCAGCAACAGCCGCAACACAATCCACCAAAAAATGTCTAGAGGAATGAGGATGGCACCGAGCCGTCCACCTTGAACGCCAAAAAAAGAGAACATGACCAAATATCTGAGCAGAATGATAGCGAGAAAGAAACCGAGGTGGCGCCCAGACGACAAAAGAAGCACACCATACACTTTATCTATCGTGGACCCGCAGGGGGTGACACGCCCGCGGAAATAAAGAAGTGGAGCCGACAGCTATACGTGGGAGAAGTGGTGATTCTTCCTAGAGAAAAGAAACAGAGATAGGAGGCCATCATGTTCTCTGATGATGACCTCCCAGAGGGCCCGTTACCCCATCGTGACGCCCTGGTGATTGAGATGGACGTCAACGATGTCATTGTCCGCCGCATCTGAATCGACACGGGAAGCTCAGTCAATGTGATGTATTACGATGCCTTCACCAAGTTAGGGATACCTAGGAACCAGCTCAAAGAAGTACGTACCCCACTCTCTGGATTTACGGGTGATTCAGTAGAGACGGAAGGGTCAATGGTCTTACCAGTGGAGATAGGCACGAACCCTAACATTCACAAACTTGACGTGGAATTCATCGTGGTAAGACTCACTTGTGCGCACAACATCATATTGGGGAGGCCGGCACTGGAGAACCTCAAGGCCATAGTGTCAGTGGAACACTTGTGTATGAAGTTCCCTACTCCGAATGGGATAGGGTTCGTCAGAGGAGACCAGTGAGTAGCCCGCAGTTGTTATGTAAAAGGATGCAAAAAGATTGGCAGAAAGGATCTACAAGTCCACACCATCTGCAAGGATGATCGATCGGATATGGAACTCAGAACATTTGATTAAGAATTTTCCTTAATATTCTGGTAGTCATTTGGGACTAGTGCTTGGTAATCGCGGTCCGCCCGCTTTATATTATGAAATCTTTGGAATAATATCTTGTATTCATTGTCCGCCCATGTTGTTTATTGAAGCATAATCATCATTTACAAAGCGTCTTCGGAAAAATGGTCCGCCCATGTTGTTTATTGAAGCAAGTTCGTTTTCGGCATCCATGGAACGCCTTAGAAAAAAAAGAAAAAAAAATCACATAAAAAATAAAATAAAATCATATGTGATTTGTGAAATAAAATCACATATTCAGGATCAACCGGATTCTGCACGATATCAAACAAATTCGGTCTTACTCCCTAGTCAACTCAAGCACATCCGTAGACTCAGGAGTAGGGGGGATTGGTGACAGGATAATAGGGCTGGCACCCGACCCGGATCATAAGTGGGCATCTGACCCGGCGCCATATTTGACCCGGCACCACATGGAAACCCAACGGACAGAACTCCAACGGACAGAATTCCAACTGGTGTCACCTTTATTGCCATTGAAGCCACCATTGATGAGAGAGAGTTAAAGGCTTAGCTCCCCATTTATGTCCCATGTTGTTACCGTTAGCACCCTGGTATAAGTAGATGCTCCCCTCAGCTTGGGAGGACATGTTGACTATTTTGTACTAAAACACTTGACGATACAACTATTGTCACTCTTTTACATTGCGTTACTCTAATATTATTACTACCGGTAACATTTTTATTGTCATATATATATATATATATATATATATATATATATATATATATATATATATATATATATAGAGTGCAGTTCAGGTGTGAACTTTGTCTAAAGTGTGAACGTGTGCACTGTTATCTGCCGTCCGTTTTGTGCTGATGGGCGGTCGCAAGCGTGGGTGCAGTGCTTACAGTGTGCATGCGTAGCACACTATCTATTACCCTGTTGGGTGGATTTGGAGTTTTAATTCTACCGTCTAACTTCAGCACCCGAATTCCCGTCGTAGGGCTTTTCACTCCAACCCTCGTCTGTCAGGCAATTCGTAAGCTCGCAT